TTTTCCTTCTAAGATCTGTTCTTGTTTCATCTTTGCTCTTTCTGACTCCAGAGAATACTTTACCTTTTCCTGCTGGCTAAATCACTACTTTTTTGTATGAAATGCGGTTTGGTTGCCAAGTGTCACTCTAGAAGTTGGCTCATCGGCGTCAGCTCTTGGCTGACTCATCTGGCATCGCTGCCACCCTCCAGATGCTTGCCTAGACTTGTTTGTTGTGGTCCTAGAAAGAGGTCACAAAGGGACAAGGAAAAGTCCCTTTCGCTGGAGTTTGGGGCCGATGGCTCATCCGTCCATTGGCATCTTCACCCCACTCCCTGCTCTTGCGTGATTTTTTATTTATATCACTGGGATCTGGAGATGAGTGGCTGGAAGGCCAGAGCTGAATGGCTGATGCCTCTGAGATCCAAGAGGATATGAGGAATGAGCTCAAAAAACATGTCCAGACAGGGCTCAGATTGCAGAAGGGACCCAAATGCCTTTTGTTTGCAACATCTCCACTTCAGCAACATCTCCACTTTAGCTGTTGTTTTTCATGGGTCTGTGGCTTAGCTCAGACTGTAGGGGCACCGGATGGGGCATGTGAACATCAGAAATGGGATAGGTTTTAAAATAAATCAACTTCTCGGATTGACTTGGGCTGTTGTTTCAATAGTGCAAATTTATCCAGCTGATAAATAGGGCTGCAATTAGTTTGCCTAATTTCTGGGGCGTCCAGACTATCTAAACAATTGCAAAACAAACCAAGTTTGTATCCAGCTCAACACTGTATCCAGGATACAGGAGTTCTGGGTTCAAATCTCTGCTCCACAGAGCTTCCTGAATCATTTTCTGCCGGCCTACAGGGTGGTGGTTGTGGATAAAATGTAATATTTGTCGTGTTGCTGCCACCTTGGACTTCAAGAAGAAAGGGTGAATAGAAGGTAATAATAATAGGAATGGTGATGATTGTGCGCATCTCCCAGCCTTCCCAGACTTCATGGTTAACATCTGGAGAGCATAAAAATGGAGAAGGTTGGTCTGTAGGACTTCTTTCTAACTTGATGGGACATTCCAACGTATTTCCTTGTGTTTCCCCTCTTCCGGCAGAGTTCATCGAGATGGGTCCCTGCAGGTCGGCAACGAGTCTCCCGTCACGGGTTCCTCTCCTCTTGGAGCCACACAGCTGGACACAGATGGGGCCCTTTGGCTGGGTGAGTTCATGAGCGTGACCACAGCACCCCTCGGTCAACCTAGGCTGTCTCTTCTAAAAAAAACCAGCAATTTTAATACACAGACCCCAGCCACAAGGTGGGTTGGGTTCTCCAGTAGTGATGGAGCGTCTCTCGGCTGGATCTGGAATCTCACAACAGCGTCCTCCTGTTCATTGATGAAAGAAGCTGGGAGTTCCAGATGGGGTGGGTTAGCATGGAGCTGGGACCCCTGTCTTTACCCCTCCCCTCTGCCTTTTCTTTTCCAGGCGGATTGGAGAAACTCAACGTGGCCCATAAGCTTCCCAAATCCTTTCTCACTGGCTTTGTGGGCTGCATACGAGACGTGGTGGTCGACCGCCGAGAACTCCATCTGGTAGAAGACGCTTTAAACAATCCCACCATATTACAGTGTGCAGCCAAATGAAACAACCCTGCGTCTCTCTCTCTCTCCCCTCCTCCTGGCTATTGCTGTAATTATTTTCTATTTTTGTAAAACTTCTTGCTTTTTATATTTTGGGGGGGGACAGGAAGAGGGGGGATAGCAGGGAGACGAGGAGGAGGAGGACGAGGAGGAAGAGAAGGATCAAGAGAGGACTTTGTTGGGGAAGAACATTTCTTTTCGGTTACTCGTTCGGTTACAGCATTATGTCACCCATCGGACTCACAAGGAGCGAAGCCTCCATTTTTAAAACAAGGCAAAGTATCAGGATGTGACCAAGGAACAAAGCCACCCCATTCTGCTTTTTGGGGTCATTCTCCACTGTAAATGTCACTCATACTTGAAGTCATTCTTTTATGATGATGATGATGATTATTTTTAATCAGGTTTTTTTTTTTGGCCGACGCCAACACTAAGGGGAAAACACAAAGGTGACCGCCACTGAAGGTCACAGGAAAAAGGTTGTCCAAGTCATGGCATCTCTGAACAAAGGAACAGCAACCACCGTACGGACTCAAGGGGGAGATCTCCCACCCCCCACAAAAAAGCCAACGGGGACTCACGGCAGAAGTCCAAGGAATTGGACTCAAGCTTTCACCCCAAAGCACCAGCTGGTCCTTTCGTCTTAACTAGGCTTAATATTATCTTCTTGTACTCACAATTAGAATGACAAGCTGCTTGGTGTGCGTGCGTGCGTGTACGTGTGTGTGTGCACACACACACATCTATCCTTTGTCCTCTTTTGACAGAAGCCCACGGAAGACTTAGCTCTCGGGTAGCAGTGGTGAGAATGGCTTTGCTGGAGAGATGCAGGATAGAAAAGATGGTCAGATGGTCTCAGAGAGGTAGGCAAAGGAATTGAGCAGAGGAAAAGCCCGGGTTGTGGCTGGGCTGGAGGGAGAACAGCATTCCTAAACCCTCAAGGAGATGAGCTTATGTTTCTCATCCAGTCTTCAGAGTTCACAGAGATAAGTGGTGATGCCCCAGAAAACCTTATCTATAGCCTGGACACCAGATTTGTGATACCACTTAAGACCATGCCAAGCTAGGCTGATCATCACCCAACCCGTAAAACAACGATGGAGACATTTTAGAGCAGTCTTCAGACCAAGTCTGAGCAAGGCGGCCGGTTCCCTTAGGGGCCGCTGTGCATGGTCGGCTGGTCTGTATTCCCATCTTGGAAGAGCAGCATATCAGAGGTTTAGCCATACCCACATCCCGGAGAGGTGTCAGTCTGGCCTAAAACTCAGCTCCCAGTTTTACACACGTGCCCATGGACCTCCCCCCCCTCTCCCAGATGTGCGTCTCCTGATTCATTTGGGAATCTCTTTGGGTAGGAAAAAGGTACATACATACCTACATATATGTAAATCTATACCTCTATGTTTCTGTGGTGTGGTATGTACAGCCAGAAGGGAAGGGACTGGATCCAGGGACTTTTGGAAACTTTCTCCTGCATTCCAAATCCTTTGGAGATGTTCCAAACCTTTGGGATGTCCTTGGCAGGAAATTCAGAATGGTCCCCTCTCCCCTTTGGACGGCAAGCAATGTCATGAGGAGAGAGCAACCTTCCGTAACAGGGTTCTTGCAATATTCTGAAATAGTTGTGGCAACTCCAGGGCGGTCCCCCCTTCCGGTGACATCACTCAGGCAGGTTGGCACATAAGATGGCTGGAAGAGCAGCTAGTAAGCTGACCAAGGGTGGGATTTGATCATACATATGTGTGTATGTTTTGTTCATACAACTCCCCTGTTCTTTCCGTTCTTGGCTGCGTACGGAGAGCAGCTGCGGGACCTCTTTCCACACGTTATTTTTATCCAGCTCGGTGCAACCTCGCCGCTATTTCTTAGTTGAAAACACCCACCCAAAGCTCGTGGCTTGGGTGACTTATCAGGACAGGAAAGGGATCCTTGGAGATGCTGTTTGAATGTATGCCCTGCAGTCATTCCACCCTCTCCAAAAATCCCCCAATAGTCCCCAGGAGTTATTGCGGCCACCCGTAAAGGCGCTGAAAATAGAAACACTTCGGATTGCTTTACAGTAGTGTTTCTCAAACTTGGCCACTTTGAAGAGGCGTGGACTTCAACGCCCAAAATTCCCCTGCCTGCATGTTTTAAGATGTGTGGATTTCAACACCCAGAATTCTGGGCGTTGAAGTCCACACCTCTTAAAAGGGGCCAAGTTTGGCAAACGCTGCTTTCCAGCAACCCGTTTTTCTCAAATGATGATCTTTCCGGCTTTGTGGAAAGTGAATTTGGGAACTGTTGGGTTTCTGTTGAACAAAGCCTAAGGCATCTGTGGCTTACGGTGTTGAGTGTGGTGACTTAGATGCCCTACCTTGAGCCTAGAACTAAAACATGGCCACCTAAGGAGAGTTAAGGCCCCTCTTCCTGGCCACCTGTCTGGCTCTTCTTTGACCTCCTACGCCCCACCTGGGTGTTTGCTAGAGCTGAAAGGAGCCATTCTGATGTCCCACCATGCCCTTCATGGAGATGCAAGCCACGGTGGGAAATTGGAAGGGCTTCCAAACCATCTCGACTTCACGGAGGCCGCCTCTCCCAGATCAAGAAGTCAACGGTCACCCAAAAGATAAGATCTGGCAGACCTCTTGATCCCAACCTACTCAGCTCAGCACCGTGTCTTGTGGACAGCGGTTTCGGTGTGGAGACTGTGTTTTGGGAGGTGATTCCTCCTCCTCCTCGAGAGAAAAACCCTATACCGGGTTGCAAATGCATTTAGGAAATGGCGTTGCCCTTTCAGACGGCAAAAAACATCTTCAGGTTTTCAGGTCAGATAAGGGGACCTCGTTTTTTCCTTCTTTGGGAATTACTAGAAAAACCCACTCTGTATGGAATTAGGGTCTGGTGGAGTTTTCCCCCCAGTCCTCCAGTGGGCCAAATTAGCCACCCCAGAGCTTCTGGTCAGGTTCAGGAGGTCTCCTTTTCACCTGATGTGAGGCATCTTCGCCCAGACTCCAGGCCAGGTTGGCAGTGAAGCCGAACGTCAGAATCCCCTTTTTTCCCACCCGTCCAGGGCGGTTCCAAACAGCTCTCTTGGAGGCCTAGGTACAGACACACCCTGATCTGGAATTTAAGGCTGGAGAGGGAATGCCCTTCGTGACGTACTTGGAGGAGAATAATATCCATGCAAAAACCCAGGGGTTGCATTTCTCCCTGTGGCCTTACCCTGCTTCCCGGGCACCATGCTCCCCGCTTCCCGAGGACGGGAAAGAGCCACACCCCTAAATGTGAAGGAACCGGGCCAGCTCCTCTCAGCCAGTTGCTACTCCCCGTGACGGAGCTCTGATTATCGGGGACCCCCTTTTCCACCTCCCCCTGTTTGGTATCCTTAACACTGATGTCTCTGTGGTGCTAGGAGATAAATAATAAAGAGAAAACAGGACAGCCGTGTGTTGCAAAAGAACAATAAACATCCAAAATTGGGAAGAGCATCTTCATGGTTATTTCAAAGGAGCCCGGGCTCTCCGGCCCGCTTTCAGATGTTCAGGGACTCTTCGGCATCAACCCTTCCAGGCAATTTCCAGGAAAAAAAGAAAAGAAAAGAAAATGCAGGAAACTTCTTGCTGGGCCATACAGAGTCCTGTAGGGCTCCTTGCAACCCGGCTAGCGCGCCCTTTGCAACTCTGCTAAATGAAGCCGTTTGCTGAATCTCGCCATTGCACGGAGGCGTAGCGCAAATTGAAGGCGCCGATCTTTTATTGTGGTTTGAATCTGGGGGCTGTTTTGAGGGAGGGGGTCTGTTGGGTCTCAAAGGAGGGGAAAGGGCTCCGCACTCCTTACCCAGAGACCATTTTTTATTCTCACTTGGGGATTAAATTGTGGCTTTCCCCCACTCGGCCATCTCGTTCAAGCGTCATCTTCAAGCAAGGAGAACAACTTGGCTTTAACTCTTCCCACTGCTATTTCCATCGTGTTTGCTCTGGGGGGGGGGGGGAATCCATGCCGTGAAAATAATTGCACTTTTGTCATCGAAAACCTCAGGAATTGCAGGGAATTGGATATTCCCAAAGGCGTCGGGGTAAACAGTGACCCTCTGGGTGCAACACCCTTGCCTGCTTTTAACCGGACCCAGATTTACTCAACCCACTTGGAGAGTTTGTGGGTCCTGCTGCTTTGCTTGGGGGGGTGGAATTAATAGAAATGCAGGAGGCTGCAGGCTGTACGATGAAAGAAAGGACGTTCACGTACATCAGTGTTTCTCAACCTTGGCAGCTTGAAGATGTGTGGACTTC